TGACTTCTGTCATTATTAACTATTCTTCATGAAATAAAATCCTTCATTGAAATGAAAGCTCTAACCAATCATTGGAGAGCAAAGTAGCAAATGTACTCATTTCTATATAAGTTATACATTGGAAGACAGATATTTATGAATTTTCTTAGAATTTAGTTACATAGCATTAAAAAGTCTACCAATGACTAGAAAAATCCACAGTGTACATTAAAAGTACACACTTGATTTTGGTTACCTAGTTACCTGGGCTGTATACCAAAGAGGAAGAGTATTTTTTGAAATTTCGGAAAACTTTGAAGAAAACTATCTAATAAAATAAGCTTTAAGTCATAGTCTTACATTTTTTAAAGAAGGGCAACATCTAAAATCTAAAATTCTATAGATTTTATTACCATTTAAAAACTTAGAATATTTAAAGGAAACCAATTTTTTTTCTACCCTCTCACTACTTTGAATAAAAGTATATGTTTAGATTGGCAGAATATTTTGTATTATGATTAGAACTGGGCTCAGAAGAGATGGTGACCCTTGCCCATTTGAGAATTTTATTTCCTTTATTTCCATTTCACTGCTATACATCTTTCCTGGAGCAGTGTAACTATGAATCATGGAAGAAAATTAAATTGATTCTGTATTCTTTTTCAACCCTACAATTTGGCAATAAGAATATTTTTTTTTCTGAAAAAATGACTCATTTACAAAGAGACTTTCTGTGAACATGGAAAAAAAGTTAAATACTGTAAGAAATCTTGCAGATGGAGGTGGGATGGATATTTGGACCTGCCAATCATTGTAAAATGATAGAGTTCATTTTGAACCATGTTAATGAGTCAAAGATCATAGAAATGATATAGAAATACAATGAAAGGCCAAAATGAATATGTCTAGAAAAATAACTCAGAAACCTATGTGAAAAGTTTATCACTTTTTTTTGATTTAGGGTACTTTTCTTGTTTTAGTGTACTCTGCTATGAGTCAACCAATGTTTTATTTCTTGTTCCTCTTGGAAATTGTTCTGTGTTGTAATATTCTTCCCTGTGAACCTTTATTTTCCTGATTTTGTAGTCCAAAATGTGTTTTTCTGACTTTCATCCAGTTTCTTCTGGTATTTTGCCCTGGGATCCCCCAGCTTGGATATGGTTTTGGTTTTCTTTATTGTGGTATTAAGCATGTTTCCTCTAAGTTATAAAATAATCTTTGATTTTTCTTTCTGAAACTAAGTTTTCACAAATATGTTTCATTGTACGTTTCGAAATATCTGTCTATCTATACTTAGTTCTCATATTGTGGGAATCATTTATATTATTCCTGTATTATAGTTTCTCCGAAGACAAGACAAACAACACCATCATAAAACACACCACTGAGGCTATGTTTGCATGTCCAGCGTTAAGTCTGTATGAAGGCTGAAAAAGTGTTCAATCGGGGCCAGTAGTTGGTGTAGTGGCTATGTCAGTGAACTCCCTTGTAGTGGACCACGGTTCACGTCCCGGACCCAGTGGCTTAAACTCGCACTGGGCGCGTGTGCGTTCATGCCCAAGATCCCAAGAGGAGAAGGTATTGTGGCATGGCCATCTCCCCTGGGGGGTAATTTCTTGCTTTCTGTCTCTCTGTCTGTCTCTGTCTTTCTGGTGAGTGCATGCATCCTATAGCAAAAACCTCTCCAAAAAAAAAAGAAAAAGGGTTCAATCATGATGATGATAATGATGCACTAATGGTGGCTTTTAAAGCTAAGGAGCAGTGATGGCCTAAACATTGTTCTTATAAGGTTGTGTAGTAGTCATTGATTCTAAGGAAAAGAAAAAAACTCACATATTTTAAATTCATACATCTGCCAGACATCTTCACCTGTGACTCCATTTGTTTCATTTCTAAGTGAAGTGGACATTTTTATTCTACCTTATTGTAAGAAACTGAACCTTAGTTAGGCAAAGTGACTTGGCCAAAATCTCATAAAAAAATAAAGAGAAGAGCAAAGATTCAGCCCACAGTCTTTTCCAATTTCAAAATTCATTGTCTTTCCACTTTGCTGTGGTGCCTCCCAGGATTTGGGGATTCGATGACTCTGCCTGAGGTCACATTATGAGTCAGAGGTGAGCTGGGAACACCATCCAGGGCATCTCCACGTTGCTCTAATCTGTTAGAATGTGATATGTCCTTTATAACAAATGCATCATCTCAATTTACTTTCTCAAAGAGGTTAGACAGCATAGCAGCTTTTGATCGTTTATAAAAGACTAATTTTCTAAAAAATAAAAGTAATAAAGCAAATATGACATTTGGTTTAACTTTTGAAAAACTGAAAAATAATTCATTAAATGTGAACTTTGCAGATGACTATTTAGATCAATAGCCAATCTCTATGGTAACATTCTTTTGAGGAATTTGATGAACATTCCTTTCCTCTGGGCACTCAGATTTTTAAATCATTTTACAATAATCTGGCAGAATGGACTCCTTTGGATCTGATTAATCATTCTAAGATGATCAGATCTTATCTACCATGAAGTACTTTCTGACAGATGGTACTATTCACATTGGTTCTGTCAATTTACTAGCTGTGTAACTTTGGGCAAGTTACTTAACCTTCTGTACCTCAGCTTCTTCATCTGAAAATGGGAATGACTTAAAACCAACATTAATGAGTGGTTGTGAGGAGTAAGTGAGTTAATAGAAGTAAAACACTAAATACTGTATAAATCATTGCTGTTATTATATTTTCCAGTTACAACAGCCTGTTGTTAGTCATGGTAGACTGTCCATAGAGGATTCTGAAGGATTTGAAAGACATTCTACACAAGGGCATTTATAACTAATGAACTCTGTCCATTGCTAGCAGTGAAATTTGAGAATTAGTTCTAAGCTATCTTATTTCAACATGGTTGTAGGACATTTAGTGACAACTAGTGTGGCAGAAATGCACGGCTGAGCAAGCTCCATGTAGATTTACTTTCTACTTTCTTTTGACTGATTTTGAGAATATGAAACATAATAGTTTTAAAAGTTGTGATTTGCTCTTGGTAACTGTGTAAACATAATGTGGTTTTTTTGAGGAAACAGCTATTACACAATTCTGTGCAATATGGATGACTTAAAGGTAAAATCTACTAATATCTGTCAGGATGTTTAATGCTATAAATAGAGATTAATTAGACTTGGTCCCTGATACCAAGAAAGCACATAATGTAGTGATGAAGAAGTAATGTCAGTTCAGAGAGCAAACAGTAGGTTTGAAAATTGCAGATTGTTTTATATAAAGAGGTTGATATAAGATTCATTGTTTGCTTGTGAAGTGAAAATTTTAAGGATTGGACAGAGGAACTTGAGAAAATTCTGAATCTGAGAAATCATGAAGAAAGCATAATGATATATTCTGTGAAGAACTGAATGAAGTGTGGAGGAAAAGAGTTGGTTGGTTATAGAAATTATATAGTCGTCATCCTGAAACTAAGAAGGCGTTTTATAAAATGTTAAGTACATGTGAAAGGAGAGAAATAACGATCTAAGACTGATCTTTCAGAATAATCATTCTCTTCCTCCTCTTCTTTCTTCGACTTAGCAAAGAATCATACAGGAATATTCGAAAGTGTGAATGGAACAGCTGAGAATTGTGATGTCTCTAAAATGATAATAAAAATATACTGACAGGGTCAGTTTGTGAGATGGTGGTTAAGGTGGGAAGATCCCATAAGACCCACCAAGCTGCCCAAGTCCCAGGACCTGTGTCTTGAGAAACACAGCAGGCACATATGTGTGTGGACCCAAAGTCCTGAAAGGAGGGAGAAGTGTAGAATACAGAGATCAGTGTAGGTACTCATGAATAGCCATGTGAAAATGAAACTTCTGGATTTAAGAATGAATGAAGAAGTCATTGAAAACCTTAATGAGATCCATGTTAACACTGTCAGCAAGGGAAACTTGGCCCCAAATATTAGTAAGATCCAAGAAAGAAGCCTGAATGAGAATGTGAGAAAGTTGGAATCTGAATGGGAAGTGGTAAATGTGTGTGTAGGTGCTAGGTGGTCCCAGTTACCTCAACATCAACCCTGGGAAACCTAGATAAATGTCTGGGGCTTATAAGTGTGAAGACTTTCATTGTTACATAAAGAGTGAAAAATGAATAGTTTCCCTGTCTGAAACAATTGTGTTGTTTTACCAGAGATCTAATTTTTGGAGAGATGTGTAAGAAGCAGCAAACGGAGAGAGAGGGGAACATGCTATAGCCATGTTGTGGGATTTACCATCAGCAGATTTCTGGAATAAATAGTCTAAAAGTTAGTATAGCTCCGATCTAAAGAATAACATTTATCCAGGTTTAATTTATTCCAGAGATTAACTAAAATGCCCATTAATCATATATTTTAAAATACATTATATTTATTTAATCTTCTAATCTTTGTAGAAGTTTCTCTCTTGAGTACGTTGAATATATTTCTAATGTACAGAGCATTTCTCTAAGAGTTATGAACATTGTGTATTTTTATTTCCAAACAATCTTTTTAATTGAAACATTGCTAGATGGTTCCATTAATCTAGAGATACATAAGACATTTCCCTTACATTAAAAAAAGTTCTCCCCATAGGGCACGTGCATGAGCCGGAAAGATAGAGAGACAGGAAGAGGGAAAGTGAGAAATTACCCCCCAGAAGGGATGGCCATACTCAAATTCCTTCTTCATTCTTCTCTCCAGACCTTGGGCACACATGCGTATGTTTTCCAGTGTGATTTTAGAGCTGCCAGGTCTGAGACTTAAAAAGAAATTGGCCATGTGGGAGTCTAACATCTTACCCACCACATCACCTACTGGCCCCGAAAGGATTTTTCAGTAAGATTAAAGGGTATGATTTCTTATTAATTTGATGCTTTGTTATTGTGGCTTCTTAAAAAGTCTTTAGGTAAAGTTTTAGCTGTAATCACTTGAGACAAGAGTGAATTCGGAAATGAACTGATCCTTGTAAATATGATGAAATGTTAATTTTTTAAATTTACTTTTTTTTAGGGATATCAGGGAATTGCAGGATCCCCAGGTGCTCCAGGATCTCCAGGAGTACAAGTAGGTAGTTTATGCAATTTTAGAAGTCTCATATCTAATGAACCAAAAAACATAATTAACCAAATCTTGTTTTGTGATTAATTTAGGGAGCTCAAGGACTACCCGGTTACAAAGGAGAACCAGGGAGAGATGGTGAAAAGGTAAACATTGCACACATAAAAATGTTAACAGTGATTTTAGTCACTCAAAGAAGACAAAGGATGTGACCTATGACAGCTCTCATTCAATAGTGTTCGCTTTGGTGTATTCCAAGATTTATGGACTCTTGCCAGTGGCCCTGAGCTAATAAAGCTCATAGAACACTTTTATAATGAAATGAAAGTGGCTATTACTAGATCAGTACTGTCAGATGAAGTGGACATTGGTCTTGTCCAGATGTCGTGTTCTCTCCTTGTGGTTAAGCTCCACAGTAAGCTACCTTCTTAGAGGGCAGTGAATTATGTAAATAAAATGTTACCATGTTAGCCTCAGATAGCCCAATGCCTGCATATTTGTCTCCACAACAGGTATTTACCTGGCAGGTGACCTGCTAGCTTAGCCTTACTATATTTCTCGTATAGAGCCACCATCGGCACAGAAAACATTTATATTACTGACACTTTTTTTTTTTTTGTAACTCTGAAATTTACCACACATCCTATTGAAATATATGATCTTTAAATATAATAATTCCTTTCAGTGTACCCAGTCAGTGCCTAGTAATAGCTTGCCCATTAAAGATAACCACTTAGATTTGTCCAAATCCAATGTTGATTTGTTAGCTTAATTCCTACAATGCAATCTTATTTCCAAGTTCTTTGAATGCCTTCTGCTATTTGCTCCTGATCAAATCCTAACATAATTTTGAACTGCCATCTCTAAAATTCTTACCTTTTTATAGTAATACACACAGCATTCACATCTGATATGAATGTGAAACACTGATCTAGCCTTTAACCATTTTATATTTCTGTGGTTGCTTATGTTGGTTGCAGAAGATTGTATTAGAGCTATTTTAAGTGCATCTCTGGAATCTGGTAGACCTGCTACTTTCAAGGTATTTTACTTAATGCTTCTGAATTATATTGTCTTTTTTGACAACATGGGAATTTCGCTCCACAGTAAGCTACCTTCTTAGAGGGCAGTGAATTATGTAAATAAAATGTTACCATGTTAGCCTCAGATAGCCCAATGCCTGCATATTTGTCTCCACAACAGGTATTTACCTGGCAGGTGACCTGCTAGCTTAGCCTTACTATATTTCTCGTATAGAGCCACCATCGGCACAGAAAACATTTATATTACTGACACTTTTTTTTTTTTTGTAACTCTGAAATTTACCACACATCCTATTGAAATATATGATCTTTAAATATAATAATTCCTTTCAGTGTACCCAGTCAGTGCCTAGTAATAGCTTGCCCATTAAAGATAACCACTTAGATTTGTCCAAATCCAATGTTGATTTGTTAGCTTAATTCCTACAATGCAATCTTATTTCCAAGTTCTTTGAATGCCTTCTGCTATTTGCTCCTGATCAAATCCTAACATAATTTTGAACTGCCATCTCTAAAATTCTTACCTTTTTATAGTAATACACACAGCATTCACATCTGATATGAATGTGAAACACTGATCTAGCCTTTAACCATTTTATATTTCTGTGGTTGCTTATGTTGGTTGCAGAAGATTGTATTAGAGCTATTTTAAGTGCATCTCTGGAATCTGGTAGACCTGCTACTTTCAAGGTATTTTACTTAATGCTTCTGAATTATATTGTCTTTTTTGACAACATGGGAATTTCTTTATAGGCTTCTTATGAGGATTAAATAATAAAACACACAGAAATGATATAACACATGAAAATTACTTAGTATGGTTCCTGGCACAGGGTTTTTCTTAAATAAATGTTTGTTTTTGTGTTTTGTTTTGCTCAAGTAGCATAGTTACCAATGGGACATAGCATGAGTTGGATTGTCATGCGTCACGGGCAGTTCATGGGTTAGGGCAGCCATCAGGGCAATTTGGAGGGTTGGTGGCTACAACAAATAGACTCTAAGGGCAGATTTGTAGTCTGGGGAGAATTAGACAAGATGAAGCAGAAGCAATAGTCCATTTACTTCCCAAAGAAGTATAAAATCTTCTTGTCCCCTGAGTGGCCTAGGGTCTCTGGGAGTCTTTTTAGACAGTAAGCAATCTCTGCCAGTAAATGTGGAGGAATCTTAAGAGACAGTGGAGAGTAGGTCAGGCCACAGAAATGGGAGATGTCTTACATCTTCCTGCTCTGGGGATGTCGAAGAGACAACCTGATCTGCCCTAGGTAAACAGGGGATTTCACCATGTGTCAGGCATGTCAGCTACATTCTTTCCGGTCTACGGGATCATTTCTGTGTCTTTACATTCTCACAAATAGCCTATTTGGAGAGAACATAAAAGTTTTCATGTATAAATAAATGTATCTATGAATGAATGAATGGGTTTGTTAACATTTATTTTTCACTTCAGTTGAGTTGTAGAGACAAAATATAAAAAGGGGGCTTTTTACTTGTACATCATAAAAGAATTTGAATTCATTCTTGTGGAGCAGATGTGCCTTACTTTAAAAGAAAAGAAGATGAATAGTTCTAATAGTACCATCTCTTTTGAACCACTATGCTAGCTTTTAAATATAGGTGTCTGAATTTTACAAAGCCATACATCCTATTGAATAAGATAAATAAGATCTATATTTATTCAAAGGCATCTGCTTTGGACCAGTACTCATTTTGTTTAAAGCGGATTGTTTTCTGAAGTTCCTCATTGGGGTAAACTGTTTTGACCTCGTCATGGTGGGTCTAAAAGTCACTATGGGTTGTCCACCATCCCTACTCACATTCCATGTGACTGCTGAGAGTTCTCACTCAGAGTTAAAATAAATTAGAGAGTGAGTTAAAAGTTTTCCCTGATTATTCCTTTATTACATAGTTCCTTGATTTTCAGAAATGGGAAGGTAAAAAAATATAGCAATGCAGGGTTTTTATTTCCAGGCATCACACCATGGCCTTTGGGAGATTGTTCCATACAGTACTGTTCTCCATTAAGATATTTTCCCTGAATAATTTCCATTTTTGGACTTTCTCTGAAGACTTCCAAAGTAGGAGTTTCCACTTAGCATAATTAAAATTAGATATACTTTCTTGCTGACTTTAACATTTGTTCTTCATAAATCAGACAACAGAATGTGCATAGATTTTGAAGGGTTTTCTCCCCTGAATTTACAAAGACTAAAGGAACACTTATTAAGCCAATGTTTTTTGTTCAATTGCTAACTCATATGACATGCATTCCAGTTGTTCTTTGAGATATAAAACATGTTTTAAATACTTTAAAATACTTAATTATACTTAAGGAAACCTAATATATTAAATCATATGGAGAAATATATTTTGTTAAGATTGAGATTAGTTGTGTTGGTTAACTGATATATATATGTATGAGTTTTCAAATTAAGTAAGAAAATTTTCTATGGTAAATTCAATTCTGAAGATGCAGACTGTATTAGTAATTTATTCGTTTAAGCTATTTAGACTGTTCAAACTTATTACTTATTTTTTCCAGGCTTCTTAAGAAATAAAATATATTTATATCACTATTGAACAAGTCCTACATTTTATTTATTTTTAAAATTAGAGCATTTAACATTGAAGTGGTTCCTTCAAAACCTTACTTTCCAAGTGACCTCAGAATGGATACAGTGTCATGTGATGGGGGAGATTTCCCTTCCTAAATAAGTCACTAACTTCTGAGTTTCCAGTGTCAAATATCTATGAGGTTTTATAGTGATTTTTATTGTATAATCAGTAATAATCAAGGAACACCAACATATACTCAATATATATTTGAATAGAATTATATATTTTTTTAAAAAAAACAAAAAGGATTGTTTAGAGGATAGGATTTTAAAATTAATCTGGTGTATTTCTGAAGACCAAAAACAAACAAAAAACAGGTTTACAAAAATAAAACAAAGCCAATAACACCATAGGAGAGAGAAATAGAACTGGCTTGGCAAACTTGCTTCCTCATTCTGAATAATCCACCCATGTAGCTTTCTGATAGCAGCCTGCTCAAACACTGGTGTGTGTGTGTGTGTGTGTGTGTGTGTGTGTGTGTGTCTGTCTGTGTGTGTCTGCAAATCAGGGGGCGCAAAGCAGTTAAAGGCTATAGACTTGGTTTTAAATTCAGACTATTTATCTCTCTAGTCATGCGTCTTAATTTCTTTAAACTACTATCATCTGGAAAGTGGAGATTATAGTATTACTGACTTCATAGGCTTGTTGTGAAGATTCAGTGAGCAGTGGATGTCCTGGGCCTAAATTAAGTACTGTAAATTAATAATGATGACAATAATGATGATGATTTGTTATTGGAACCATTATTCTGATGATCTAAAGTCAAACATGTGGACATAGTTTAGGCTTACCTTTATTTATTTATTTATTTTTGTAGAGGTTTTTGCATTAGGGCACTTGTGCTCACTGGAGAGAGATAGACAGAGACAGTGAGAGGGAAAGTGAGAAACCACCTTTGGGGAGCTGGCCACACTGTAATCTCATCTCCTCCCAGGATCTTGGGCTTGCATGCACACGTATCTGACCCGAGTTTCAAGCCACCAGGTCCGGCACTCAAACTGTAGTCAGACATGGGGGAGTTCAGTGATGTAACTACTACGCCACTTGCTGGTCCCAAAAAATCATTGAGAAAGAGAGAGATTAATTCAATGCTGCAATCCTCCAGCCTCTAGTAGTTTTGCCACAGGGCAGGCACCACTATGCCCCAAATTATTTCTTTAAATGTTTCAGTTTCTCACTTGAAGCAACTGCACAGAAATATCCTAAATTTCTTTCACTACGTCTATCCTTCTACCCACGTTCTGTTTCCCTCTGCCCTGTTAGAGTGGGTGAACTGTCCATATATATTACACATAATTTCTTGTGCTCTGGATCCCATCTTTCTCTATCACTTTATATTATTAATTAGGCTTTCTCTTCAGTGTCATTATCTGTCCTTACTGAGTTAAAATTTTCCAGTAGTCTGAAGCATGACCCATCTGAAACGAACCAAACCAAGCCCCCCCTTCTTTAGCCAGATAGCCTCCTTTAGCTGCTGCTGCAATTCTCTG